TCCCCTGAGAGTCCAAGGGACGAGAATCGTCGTCGTGACTCGGAAGAGAGAGGTTTTCATCTTCCGAATTCCGCAACTTCCTTGCGAGCTTCTTCATTGCTTCTGCTTCCTTTTCTCTTTCGCCGATTTGAAACCGTCTCTATCAAAATCTTGTTATTGAACGATTCTCCTGCTCTGCTCCCACATTTTTATTTATTTTTCCTTCATTTTATGATTACTTTCACTTCCACCTCCTACGCTTTTTTTATACGTCTTACACGGTTAAGATATATATTTTTTATTCTATATAGTTTCATTTATTTTATTTTTAATTTTATAATTTAAAGTAAACTTTGTAACTTTTAATATTTATTTTTCTATTCCTATAGTTAGATAGGTTTTTTAGTTTTTATATTTGTAGGTTTCTTTTATAATTATTTTAGTTTTTTTATTTATTAATTTCTCTATAATATATATATTTTTTTTCATATTGACGTGACAAATATATTTAATTTTATATCTTATATATTAAATTTATTTTACTATAATTGTTCTAAATTAAATTATTCACTTGTGTCTCATTTTTTTACTTTCACTTACAACATCTATTTTTGAGATACCATCTCTTTTACTATCACAAAAATTAAAAATATTTACCACATTAATAAAATATCTATTTTATTTGATAAAGACTAAAATATAAAGTAAATAAAAAAGGCATCCATGTAATGCCTTCAAATACTCTTTTTAAAAAATAAAAATAATAAAATTTGAGTTAACTGAAAAATACTTTGTTATTGTTATCAAAACTAATAAATGTTTTTATAAATTATAAAATTATATTTAAATGATTGAGATAATTTTAGTGATTTTAAAGTAATTATATGATTTTTAATTATGATAACTAATTTAAAATTGTGTTATCTAAATTTATAATTTTTTACTTATAAATTTCTAGTCCTTATATTCTTAAAAGGAAAAATATTTTCGTTTTTTCTCACTCATAATAAGAGGTGTATCATGTAAAAATTCTTAACTGTGAGAAATAAGATAAAACTGATTATTAAAATTTATAGTTTTATATTGCATATTTAATTATAAGTCTTAGGCAATTCTTTCTCTTTTTTTATATTAAAAATTACAATGATAGTTATAATATTCAAATCTGTAATTTGATGCATACTTCTTTTCACTACTAGATTGATTTAGTTGTTCCTTTTTTTTTAATTAAAGATTACGCAAGACATTTAGCATATAATTAAATATATAATTTAATGATTATAATTAAATATTTTCATTTTCCAGAGTTCTCAGTAACCTTTTTTTTTCCTTTATTTTTTATTATATATAATAAAAATCACGTGTTCTTTTATTTTTATTTTATTTTTGTTTTTTTATGAAAGAATTCTATTCGAGTTAGTAATACTAAAGTCTATCATCACAAAAAATAATATCTCAAATTTAGAATTAAATAATTTTTTAAGGAAGAATTAAATAAAATTAGAATTATTATATGTATATTTAAAAATTAAGTTACAAAATCATAATTTTAAATTAAATTAAAATTTTATCGACACAATAAGGGCTGATTAGAGGGATATAGTGTGTACTTTATCGAATAAAATTTCACATTAATGATAATAGTTAAAATATTCATTACTTTTAAAATCCAACTAGTTTTTGAGCAAATTAAAACACTATTTCAAGATTTAATAATTCTATGATCGAACTAAAATTAATAAAATAATTATAATAATTCAATAATATGTAAAATAATATTAAAAATAATATCATAATAGTTTTAAGTGTTCCTAGCATTTAAAGGATATATTAGCATGCAAATCGAATATATTATAATAGTTTAATCTTAATTTTAACAATATACACAATTATTTATTAATAATAACATTTATATTGAAAATAATAAAGAAAATGATAATTGTTTCAAATTAAATTTTTTTAAGAAAAATAAAATAATATTTAAAAAATATTCTTTGATTAAACCATTTTTTTTATGATTCCTGATCCATTTTTAATGGTTCTTTGACTGACTTTTACCAATTCAATTTAAACATGGATTTTTTTTTACTTATATTATCTAATTTATTAAAATTAAAAAAGTAATTAATTGAATTAATGACAATAAAGTTTTCTTCTTTTTTTTTAATTTTTTTTCAAAATTACTTTCGTACTACTTTTCTGTGGTAATTACTACTAATCTTTTTCTTAATTAATTAGAGTATATATCCTGTATTATTTATTTGTCATAATTAATATTTACTTTTTTCTAACCTTAGAATGCATATCTTTAAAAAAAATTATAATTAATATATTCTATAAAATTAAGATAACATGTTTTAAGTAAAGATATTTCAATTTAAAAAATAATACATCAAATATTGTAAATTAGATCTATATGAAAGAACAGATGATTATTTTAAATTGAGTTTTATAAATAAAAGCAAAAATAATATATTTCAACAAGCAATTGTTTCACAAACTTTGCTTAATAAAATGTAATAATTATAAGAATATTATATTGAGCTTAATTATTAAACTTTTTACGAAATTATAATTTGTACAAATCTTAATCAAAACTTTCAAAATATACTCACTCATTGTTACAGAGATTATTGGTAGGAATAGGCGATGAAGCTATTTTACTAATTAAATAATAATAATAATAACAATAATCTGCTCCTTGTTTCAAAGGGAGAAAAAATGAGAATTTTAAAATTTTAAAATTTATTTTGCAAGTCGTGTCATTTTCTCTTAAATTAAAATAAAATAAAGTTGTTATTACTGGTATTTTCTATCCAAAAAAAAAATCCAGGTTTTGAAATAACAGTTTTTGTCAGACTGGTCTCATATTGAATAGTATTTCCCCTTTTCCGCACAATCTAACTGTACATATGGGTGGCTGTTAAAAGTTTAACCTTAATAATCTAAGTTGTGTTACTTGTGTACCGTAATGAGTTACGGGAAGGAATGCCATGAATAAAGCACAATGTTCAAACATTAATTGCGGAATATTGCTCTATGACTTGAGGAGATAAAGGGAAATTGGGTTTGCAGGCACAGTGAGAACGGAGTTGCACTCGTCAACACCGCAGCTACTGCTTCACCAAGTTGCAAGGAATACTAACGAAACTATCATATCTAATGATCCACAATTCATCGCATCAATTAGTTTTTTGTTTTTAAAGTCAATAGCACTTCCATATATTGACGACTTAGACAACCAAAAAGTTTAAGGACCTGTCAGTTCCAATAAAAATTCATTTCTGAACCAAAATTCAACAGACTTCCTGGAAGGACTATACATATTCACCAATTTTGAGTTCTTATTTGACAGGAAGAAAGAATTGCATATGATAATTCATGAGTCTTCCAATATCTTTCCAAAGGAAAAGAGACCTCTCAGCACTTTCCTCTATCGGAAAGAGAGCACTCAACCCTAACTACCCATATTATAGTCTTACAAGAATAGACAAAATTTTGGCATCCTAAGATAAAATGTACCTATATATTCATTATAGACTAATTTCAACTGTTTCTAAGTTTTCCTTCACCTGGTAGAAAGGTAATAGCAAACGATTGGGTACCTCAAGTCTCGATGCTCAACCCACTCTCATTCCTTTCTGACCAAGAATTTTGTTAATATCCACCCCACTGTTCTTAGAACAGAATTTGTTTTTTCATTATCCCCGCAACAAGAAAACAAGGGCCAGAGAGGGTCTAAACTCAAATATGTTGATGCTAAAAGCCAACAAAACAGATGAAAATAATTGATAATTATGAAACTACATATCAGCAATGTCTGAAGAAAATAGAAGATAAATGTAAAATCCGCATTAATCAACTATAACCAACAGATATATATGAATCAATCCTCGTCATCAATAACCTTGGTGCCCAAACCTTTGATCTCCTCCTTGGGGATTTCGACGACTGTAACGAGGGAGTATAGCTCCTCTTTCGCATCCTCGTCATCGTTCCTCTTGCGAGCAACGCGAACCCTAATTCTCCTTGGGACACTCCGGATCCCCTGGCTCCACACAAACTTGTTCAGCTTCACGTCCACTCTCACATCGTTCGTCCCCATCGCTTTCTGAGCAAACTTCCTTATCTCCTTAATCGCTTTAGGAGCCTTCTTCTTGAATGTGCTGTTTATTGCAGAATGATTTGATTATGACAGCTTCCGCAGACCTAAATAGGTTTGAAAAAAAGAGTTGTGGAGAAGGGGAAAAGGAGATTACCAGCCATGTAAACGTTTGTGGAGGTTGATGGTGTATTCCCGAGTAACCACCTCTTCTTTTCTTCCCTTGGCCTTTTCCACCATTGTTACTTACCTATGTACATAAGATACTCACAATTTAGTTTCATTACAAATACTTAGAGCTTCTTCTATTGGAAACGAAGGGAGAAGAAAACATACCTTCAGATTCGGAAAACGCAGCGATGCAGAGAGGAAGAGACGGAGGCAGAAGATCAAAATAAAGAGAAGAGTGTTCAAATATATCCTTAAACCCTAATGGGCCGCCACACCGTAATGGGTTTACACTTTACAGGCATCAAGCCTTTTTCTAGTTGAGAAAAAAAAAATTTGCAGTTGTTTTTTTATTTTTTTATTTTTCTAATTGCCAAATTTTTTATAGATTTAAAAGTTAAAGAAACCATTTATGTAATTGAGAGACAGATACTTAATTATTAACTATATATACAAATAATTTAAATTTTAGTATGCTTATAAGTTAAAATGTTGTATTTTTTCAACTTAAAGGGGTAGGTTATTTTAATTAAAAATATTTATAAATGGCATGCTAATTTGCAAGATTCTAATGTGATATACTATTATATATTTTTTTATGTTAACTGAATGGCTAATTATTTAACTTCTAAAAAGTTCATTATATTTCCTGTTTTAATTTTTAGGTTTTATTTTATTTTTAAAATTCTATTTTTATTAAAAATTACTAGTATAAAGTAGGTATTTCGTGTATTTTTCTTTTTCGTTGAAAAAATAAGTTAAGTTATTCGAACCAATCTCACTTTCTTGTAGAACACTTTTGGTTGCCTCCATTTTCATTAAAAGAAAAATGAAAAATAAAAAAAAATAAAAAGTTACAATAAAGTAGGTGATTTATAAGAATAAGTATTATAAAATAATAGGTGAATAACTATTGTGCATTGTAAGATAAAAGTTGACCAAACCCTTTTTTCTTTTTCTTTTTGTCTGTATCAATAAGTCCTTAAATTATTTGAAAATTGTTAATTAGGTCTATATACTAAAAGCATTTATAATTGAGTCCTGACTTTTATGAATAACTATTGTGCATTTTTAAGATAAAATTTGATCAAACTTTTTTTTAAAATAACTATTCTAAGATAAGTCCTTAAATTATTTTAAAAAAATTAATTAGGTCTATATACTAAAAACATTTTATAATTGAGTATTTGATCTTCTATAAATCTTATTAGGGTTTAATGGTGATGTATTATTAATTGATAAAAATCACCATTTCATATGATTTTTAAGATAATTATTATATAAGTCAACAAATTTATAATAAATGATAGTTTGTAATTAGACAACGGTATAAAATTATTTTATATCATTAGTGCTAATACTTTAGCTCTTTTTATATTTAGGTTTTTGGAGTTAGTAAATTATTACTACCTTTGTCCCTGTATACAAGCCTATTTTCACTTTTTTATTTGTCCCTTTTTTTTTTATAAGATAGTCATTTAATTATCATTAATTACATGTTCTCTAGATACCCTTAATTAATTAATTCTTTTAGAAAAAATGATAATAAGTGCTTAAAATTTATTGGATAAAAACTTTTTCTCTTATTTGGATTGAAGGAGATAAATACACACATATATGTAACTTTTTTTTTTTCAAATATTAATCAATTAAGTGAAAAATGATTAAATAAATTTTGAAAAAGTAATTTAAATTATTGACAAATTTAATACTCTCAACTAAATTAACTAATTTTCTTAAAGAGTATGATTTAGTTAAAAGAGTCTTATAATTAGGTATGTAGGCAGAACAAATTTTTATTTTTCTAGCATATTAAACTCTTTTTTTTCCCTAAAACGAAGTTATGTGAATAACAGTTTAATAGAACTCAAAGTAAAAGTAAACATTTTAATAAAAAAAAAAAGACCATAAGCAATTTATATAAAAGTTAATTGAAAGAATTTATACTTTTAAAGAAAAACCGAAAAAGACAGACTAAAACACGACCGAAATTTGAAATCATATTTACATATTTCTCCTTAAAAGATGCAAAAAACAAAAAAAAGATTTAAGAAAATATTTATACAATTAGTCTGAATTATTGATAAAAAAAAATTGTGTTGATATTTAATGATATTTTGACAAACTATTTATACATTTTATATTATAATAATTAATTATAATATTTATTAAAATAATATCATAATATTAATTATAAGAAATATAATCATATTGATTAAAATAATTATAAATCTAAAATATAAATTTCTAAACACTACTCACATTTTTTATATTTAAAAAAGCATATCTATATTTACAGTATAGTTATGTGTGGATGCATATTTATGAGTTTATACTCATTTGTATTGAATCCATTATTATAAATGCACACATGATTTACTGTCTTAGAAAAAATTAATTTTTCTAAATTCACTATTAAAACATTATTTCTAAACACAAATAAGTTTTCAAAAATTTAATGAGTTTAAAACACTATTTTTTTTTTTACATAATTAATACTATCGAAGTCTATACGAAGAGAAAATGTATTTCGGCTGTTCCCTCCACACTTGTAAGGTAAATAATAATAAAAGGCACACAGATGCAGCACCTCCAACGTGCCTTGAATCACCAACCCTCTTATTCTGCGGATTTGTCCAGGACTGTGTCTACCACAATTACTATTTTCTGAATGATTAGAAAAATAACCTGAGTAATGGAAACAATGTCGCACCACCATCCCGTTTCCTGTATTCCTTTTGTAAAGAAGCAAGTGAAGTTGCACGATACAATTCTCAGCATCACAAATCGATGTACATACGTTTCATTCAGGCCTTCATTGGGGCCACGTAAACACCTAATTTGCCTCCTATAACTATAAACTAATCAATATTTTACATCATCTAATCTTACAATGTTATGTACGTTTTGTGACTTTGGTAAAAATAAAGAATCACGCATGTTGGAAAACTAAATTTTAATTAGCGGCTCTGCCAAGCAAATGTCTGCTATTATTTTGGGCATGTCTCCACAAACTAAATGCCAAAACTGCCACGCCAGCGACTCCTGCCAAAATCTGTCACAAAAAAATGTAATGTAATGTCTGTTTCCCATACATAAAGGCATGTATATCTATCTACCTACGAGAGGCCTGTATATAACTGACCTTTGCTTCTCTGCCATAGTTAGTTCGAGCAGATTGGAATACTGATTTCAGCAATTTAAAAGGAGAAGCCTTTGGCATTAGAATCACAACAGTATACTTATTTTTGCAGGGAAAAGGCAATATTCTTTTTAGTGCCAACTGTGCAGTCGACGGTGTAAGGGATGATCTAACTTTCGATCGCCCTTCATCTTGAATCTACAGCAGAGATAATTGCACAATTAATAACATTTCATTTATATGAAAATGAGTAATATGATTTCATATCCCATGCAATCATCATAATTTGCAACATACAAAACAAACAGATCATCATTCAATTAAAAACAAATGCAGCTGATGTCAGGATCTATGGTAAAATTTTGATATTGTAATAAGATTATGAAAAGGGGGAGTGATTATTTACTTTTAGATCATAACTTTCAAGAAACATCTCAATGTCACATTCAATTTTCAGAATCAAAATCGATTAAAAGAGAGAGATATTTTACATATATTCATGCTAAACTTGTTTTCAAACTAAACAATGGCCATAATACAACAGTACTGGAACTAGACGTTATAATTAATTCCTTTCTGATAGTTTGAGGAAATTCAAAATGCAAATAGTAATCCTCATGACAGATGCCATCTCAATTTATTGAAATGGAAAAATACAAAAACAAAAGACTGTAATAGTCACTAACCTCAAAAGAAGTGCCAACATCACCAGAATAGACTCTTGATTGATAGCTGTGCAAAATCCTATCCAGCCAGTAATAATTTTCCTGAAAGATACGTGCAAATAAGAAAAAGAAAATTGAGAGAGTAATGTTACTTCCATCCCATTAATCCACGAATCTGAATGCTTTTGTGGATATAAGAGATATGTGAGATAGAGAAGCTTGTAACTTTTATCATTGTTTACAGTTGGCATGGGGGACATAAGGATTCGTATATCTAGGTGTATCTATTTGTTCCATTGACTGCGTAGTAAAGGATGCTAATAAGACAAGCTTCAAAACCAAATTAACCTGCAGTCCATTCTCATGAGCTCGTTGCTCAATTTCAAGCATGGTTGAAACATCCTGTTCTGAAGGCCCTTCCTCTTGAAGACGTAACATTTCATCCAAAGCAAGATCTACCTGTAAATGAGTTACAAGCAGCAATTTTCACCGAGTAATGTATTGTGAGAAGTTCACTTATTTTACATATGAAGGAGACTTGCCAGCTTGGAAGATATATCTGGATCACAAGAGAAATTTATGCTGATGTCTCCACGAACGTCACCTATTCTAGAGGGTTTGTTACCACCAAGAAATACCGAAACACCTACAGAGTATATCTGGTGCACGGAGGTAAAACCTTAGAAATACTAGAATATAATATATATGACAACTAAAGGAAAAAGATAGTAACGCATATACACCTGCCCATGCTTGAAACGGAGAACCTGCATTATTTTTGTTTCAAGAAGCTTGCTCAAGAACCCAACGAAGTGAATCTCTTCCACCTGCTAAATAGCCCCAATTGGAAACAGGACCAAAAACAGATTATAGATCGTATTTGGGATAGCTGTGAAAATTAGTTTTTCTTTGAGTAAGTTTGCTGAAAGCTATTTTAAGATAACTTCGTTTTGGATGCAACAATTTTTTTTTTTTTACATAGTAAATTAAAAAGAGTATAAAGCTGTTGGGAAATTTGAGGGTAATTTGGAAATAACATTTTTTAGGGGGAAAAACTATAGGGAAATAATCATAAGCTAAAAAGATTCAGATGCATGATTCGAAAACAACTTATTTTTCAACAAAAAAAGCTTTTTAGCAAATTTCAGGGCTTTTTACAAGCCACGGGTAATTTTTTTAGAAAATTCTGAAAATGGGTAAAATTTAAACAGATTCCTGAAATGGATAAGTCGTATTTCACATACACGACTTTTACTTTATTTTTTTTTCTTCTTTTCAAATAGTAGTCGTGATTGCCAAGCAAGCCATTCCTTATTATTATTATTATTATTATTATTATTATTATTATTTTTTAATTTGAAAAATGGCAAGTCATGTTTAAGATTGAGACTTTGCCCCTTTATTTTATTATTATTTTGTTTTATGTTAAAATAATTTTTTCGTTTTTTTTTGAAAAAAAGTTGTTTTAGAACACGACTTCCATGTTTTTCTTTTTATTTTTAAAGAGGGCAGTAGTTGAGTTTCTGAAACACGATTTTCATTTCAAAAGTCATGTTTTAGAAACACAAAGTACCTCTATTTTGGGAATTTTATTTTAAAATTACCCATTTTTGGGAATTTAAAAAAAAAAATAGCCCTGATAGGGGGAAAAGGCCAAACTTTTAGCTAATATCCCAACATTATTTGAGATTCACATATACAGGTTTTTATATTTATTTATGTTATATAAATTCAGGAACTAGGGAAAAAAGATTACACACCGTGGTCCCATTCTTCAGCTCCACAGGAAAGCATATCTGCACTAAACACTGTGCTTCTACCATGGGACTCCGAACCACTTCCCTACAAGCACAGTATGGTTTATTTAGAAGATGTATCCACTGAATCCTTCAAAAGTGTATCAGCATCCATGCACAATAGATACTATTGAACGAAGTTTGAAACATCCAGGTTGTCAAAAAAAAAGATGCAATAGAGAAATGAGAATACAGTCTATTCCTAAAGATGACGCCTAAGCATGGTCTGGTCTTTTTTTCTTTTGAAAAATCATAGTACAGTTCATTTGAGAGCCTAACAAAATGTTCACATCTTCTCCTTTTGGTACAACACTACACAACAACTATCATAACACCTTCTGTTTGTGAATACAGTGCATTGATGTACCTATGGATTGCTGTTGGAAAAGTGAAAGGCAATCCTTTCAGTTCATCACGGTTAAAATGCATAATAGGTTCAGGAGGTTTCGGTATTCCACCCTGCATGGAAACAAATCAATTGGTTTGTAGAATAATTCAACTATTGAAGGTCTCCTGGCTTTTGTTTAATGGATTCATACTCACTAGGTACTGCAATATCAAGGGCATTGCGATAGTGGGATCAATGTTCCCAACAATCACAACAGTAAAAGTTGATGGATCTTTGAAACATTTGCTGAAGAATTCACAAGCTTTCCGTGGATCAACCTTTTGTAGGTCACTTTTCCTAATAGGCTGCAAAACAAACAATATGTTGAAAGTTAAAAGTAGATCATTCAGTCAATGATTTAACTGATATTAGAAAATTGTCATACCCGGAAAAAATAAGAGTTTCCATAGTTAAGCTCCTTTACACGGTTTGTAAAAGCAGTATACGGATCCCTATCTTGAGCAGAAACTGCTTCTTCAGCCATTTGCATCACTATTTTGACATCTTCTTCTCCTGGTGTTAAATTTGTTACAAACAGCTGATAGACAAGCTGAAAAATAAAGTAATAAATAAATAACATCAGAATAGATAGAAAGAATATATGCATAATTTAAAATAGTGGAATTGATGTGTTTATGTATTATACATACAGAATAGAAAACAGTGAAAAGAAATGAAATATTATATTTCTTGATTGAAAATTATCAAAGCAAGGAGAAAGAATTTTCCCTCCCGAGGTTTCCCATTTAAAAATCTTCTAATTGTTTGAATGCACCTTCCATCCTTATCCCCTATTTACCTAATTAATCAGCTCTAACTAGGGATGGGGAAAAAAAATTGCACCCACAGATACTCAGTGGCTCAGTGCAGCAGGTAAAAACCATTGCAGGTCATATTTGGGTTTCAAATGGGTATCTGCAGGAGAAGTGAACAGATTTTTTCTCTACCTGCTTATAGATAGGGAAGTACTAGGGTATGTGGGTACTTGTTAAGTGAGAAATCACTAATTTACCCCAATATATAAACATACTTGCCCAAGGGCCTGTTTGGTTTCACCATTTTCTATTTTCATTTTCAAAGAAAGTAGAAAATAAACACAAAAATGTGTTTACTTTTAATTTTAGAAAATGTTTTCTTTGAAAATGTTTAACACATAATTAACTTAACTTGAAAAAAGGTATTGGTATATTGAAGTTAAATCCAAAAAATATACATGATGTCCAGTCCACACAATAAATGGATGAAAAAAAGAAGAGAAATATTATTAGGCTTGCAGAACAAGATTACTAATATATAACTTAAAAGTAAAAATACTTGCTTCCTGCTTTAAAACATAAACAAGCAGATATATAATTTAATAATGGTTTTTTATGTGCTCACTTGGTTGTGTGAGCAACTACACACTACTGTAATTTGTGATCAAATAATTAAAGGAACCACATAAGTTTGCTAATCATATCAAATATACCTGCAAAGCAGTTTCTAGGTCTGAAGGTGAACAATCACCATAAAAAGTTCTCATATATGCACCAATCTTGGTACCGACTTCAGCTCTCTTGCCAGCAAGCATATCCATTAGAACAGATGGTCTATAACCAAACACACCAATTTCCCCAGCGATGGTTGGTCCCATTGAACAAGAGAAGTACTCACTCTCTGGGAGTTCAGACAAGCCCCCATATGAATACCCTGTGAAGATAACCTGTTAAGACACATCTGTAGATTAGAACTGATAATTATTTGTGATAAAATTCTAACATCACCATTAATAATGAAACACCACTCATGGGAGTATGAGTATCAGCTGATGCTTTATAATAAATGCATGTGCATGCTAATTTCAATTGAGTTAGTGAAAAACAGGAAACTCATCTCTCTTGTAGTACAAGCAGCATAATGAGCTCCAATTTTTTTATTTTCCAGTCTAAATTACTTCCTTTCCTTTACTGTTTCATGCACACACACAGATGCAATTGTGTATATAATAGAAACCAAATTTTGGGATAATATTCTGCTTCAAGGAATGGAGCTCATCTCCTTACAACCAAGGTTGTCAATCAGGAAAATTTACGTAATCTCGTTGAGGTATACTTATAAATAACATAATAACTCAACATTTCAACTCCATATTAAAGTAAAATAGAAAATTATAATATTAAATTATCAATTTATATTATCAATTATCAAATCATTCAAAATTTCACACAAGACACAAGTTCTTAAAATAATAAATAAAAAACTAAAAAAAGACCAATTTTTGCTTTAAGCAAGAAAGGAGACGAGATTGCTCAAGAACAAGTTTACATTATAGGTGAGGCTAACCAATCTCATAAACTTGGTAATTGTTACGAGTTATCACTCACTCGAGATTGATAACCATGCTTACAACATTTAAAAATCTCTGATAAACCAAAGAATACAGCCCAAAATCAGAGAATAAACCAGGTAAAAACCAAAAAATATAACTCAATTAAGAAAGTATGTAGTGCTAAATCCTCCCTAGGCAAGGGTCACCTTGACCACCCAAAATGTTCCTATGCTTCCTCACATTCCACCCTTTCCCCCAACCAATTTTCCTTGTCATTACATTTCCCATTCTCCAATTCTCTTCCCTCAATTTGCTCTTGTCAGATATCCATTCTGTTATGCATTTCCCTCTCTCTTTCAACCAATTCCTCCACTTCTTCACTTCTCTCATCAAATTTTTGTCCTTGCCCCTTTTTTCTCCTCTCCTTCTCTCATACTACAGGCCTTTGATACTGTTAGGTCCATCTTTCTCTTTCTCTTTTCTCCTATATACATGGGTCAAAGGCCTTTCAGCTTATAAATTCAGTTTGATTTGGACTAGATCAATTTTCAAAATAGGAAACAAAAAACTAATCCAACCCAATAAAAAAAATCAGTCTTCATTTCTTTTCAGTTTTGGTTTGAATTTTATTGTGCACACACTCATTCAATTATGTATATAAATTTTTAATTTGGTTTGGAAAATTTCAAATTACAAAACTAAAATTACTCCAATCAAATACATTTTTTTCTTCCAGTTTTAGGTTTATTGCTTCGAATTTTTTGTGATTTGTGTTGGATAGATCTGTCACTGAAAAACCCAAGGTTTAAATGTCTTAATTATACTCTATTAGTGATCATACTATATAACTTAACAAAATTCAAAGCAAGTTGTCAATCAATAATGCAGCCAGAGAGATAGACAAGTCATAAGTCAGTCAATGTTTATTCAAGAAATATGTAAGAACTATGAACCATGATAAATTTGATAAGCAATGCCTATGATGATTGGAACCTGGTCATCAAGAAAGTCTGTACGCTTATAGCAGATACGCATGCCATTTGACAGAATCAGTTCAGTAGCTCCAATATTTGAATATTCCAATTCCTGCACAATATGCCTAATTTGAAGACAGGGCAGGTAATTAGATCAGAATGTGATTTCCCAAACATAAATGTAAAGAAGAGGTCACATCCAGAACATCGTAAAGACAGAAATTTGATCCATATAATAGTTTAATAACTGGTATAATAAAACCCTTCATTACATATGAAGTACCAAGCTATCAGCGGGTTGAACAGATGATATTGGCTATTACTGCTTCGAAAAATCAAGATTTAAATGAAACATGGCTTAGACCTTGTTTGGATAAACTTTTACATAAGCACTTGGAGGAAAAAAATATGAAAAAATGAAAGAAAAAAAAAATTTCCCATAAGTTAAAATTAGCTCATGTATAAATTAATTTCTAGAATTTCTTTCATAGCAGCTTTTCCAAAAGTTGATTTTAATTAATATATAAATTAATTTTAGCTTTTGAGAGAACTTATTTCATTTTTCTCTCTCTCTCTTTTTTTCACCCATAGGTACGTACAGATATTTATCCAAACAAGGCCTTAACAACAAATTAAACAAAAATACGTAAAGGCATAAACAACTGAGTCCTACTTGGAAAACAAAGTAAGGGAGCATTTTCACTTTTCGCTAATCATTCTGAAATTCTTTAGGAATTTTTGTTATTTTGACCCTACAGGCAGCGACCATTAAATGAAGGAAAAGTATGGCCAAATAACTAAGACAATTATCAAGGAAAACAAACTTCCTTTAATTTCTCTAAATGAATCCAAGCAAGAGGAGATAAAAGGAACCATCAAAGCTTAATGCTTTACATATTAGTATGATCTTTTGATAACAACTAAAACAGAAAATGCTAGCTCAATGGAAGAACAGGAAGAAACATGTCATTGCCAACCACTCTTTCGTATTAGGATAAAGTTGCAAAGTCTGCCTAAAACACCTACCTGGGAGCTACTTAAAAACAGCAGAGGAGAAACTTGATTATATGAATTAACAACAAGGATATATGCACATGTGATTATATGGGCTGGGCTAGAAATCAGGGAGCAAGTAACTACATTGGCAAATGAAAATGTAACGTACAAAATAGAGAAAGATATTCAAGTTCAAATCAAACTCACCCCATATTTGGCTTTGTAGTGACAATTTCTTCTGGAACATGTTCATCGTCCCAAGAAGAGATTCTACCCTCTTCCTCAAGAAGATTGACTTTATTAACAACATTTTTCAGATCATCAAGCACAGCAAATGATTGGGGCTCAATAGTCTTTATGACACAGCTACATGATGTCCTTAATTTCTCAGAACACTTAGAGACCTCTGACGTCGATATATCTAATGGGTATAAATAACTAATATAAGCTCAATTATAAGGCCTCCCAAACTAGATTTATCCAGAAATTTGATATTAGAAGACAAAAGGAGATGATATATCAACTCACGTGGTAGAAGAGTCTTTTGGAGTTGAGCCTCATACTCAATCCCAACAACAGGTTCATTGTGGAGAAAATGCTGCATGAACAAAGAAAACATTATCTCCAAAATCACCCATAGTTTGCTATAAGCCATTTTAATGTGAAAAGGAAAAAAATTCATATATATATATATATAATATACTTGTAAATATTCATCTCTCAAGCTGGTAGATTGAATTTGATCTCGCTCCAAATAGGCAGATTCAATCTCTGACATCAGTAGGGCGCGAACTACAGATATTTCACGCTCTGAAAAGCCATGAAGCCTCACCCTTGCAACCTAAAATATAGCTTTCATAAATCTCAAAATAAAAGGGGGAGAAAGAAGGAAAATGGGAAGAGAGAAAGGTGAAGAAAATGCAACTAAGTTCAAGATGAAAAAAATACCTCTATTAACATTGATTCTAGGGCCTCAATAGTTCCTTTTCTTTTACAAGATGAAGACATTATATTGGCCTTTAATGGGCGGACTAGAACATCAGCAGCAGCAGAACAGGAGAAATAGGGTGGATCATTTCTACGTGCTATTTTAAAGAACCTCTGGTTTAAGGCATAAAGGAACATGGATTCTGCAAGTAAATTACGGTAGTCTTTTACTGTTTTAAGCTCATCCACTGGCATCTTATAACTAATCATCACTGCAGACTGTTATTAGAAAAACCCAAAGTAAAGTGTTACTCCCCAAGCAACATGAAATTACAAACAAAAATCCTGAAACTTGCACTAGAAGTTAATGATTCGTTACTTACTTACCCCAGCAGCTTCAGATTCAACAAAACACGAAAATCGTGGCTCATCGTGCGATGGAACCTGGAATGTTGGTATAAGTGGAGGATCAGGATCCGGAATTTTCTGGCCAAAATGAGTCTTTATTAACTCAACTACACCCTGCAATCGTACGGAGAGTGGTTACAGAAAGCACGACCATACAACACAGTTATAGATTATAGTTATAGATAAACAACCAAAGCACCTGCGTATCAGAAAAATCTCCAACTGCTATTACTGCCATGTTGCATAAATGGTACCACTTCTGGTAAAAACGCCTCACAGTCTCCGCAGAAACAGTCCGAATCACTCTCTCAAGTCCAATAGGCAACCTCTCAGCATACTGCAATCCATAAAACACTTTATGAAATGACATCAATTGATTAAAAAAAGAGTTAATCATCTATACACTGTCAGTGTAAAGTTTTTTACACCGACAACCAATCATATCTTTTAATAGTGTCATGTCACTAAATAAAATAATTTAGAAGATATGATTGGTTGCCAGTATTTTTTTACACCGACAATGTATGGATGATTAACTCTTAAAAAAAATAAAATCAAATGCTCTATTCTATTCTAACCATTTTACTTAAATTAACTAAAACCATTTTACAGGCACCTTTGAACCTTCCATCATCAATATCCAATGAGCATCCTGTAGCCTCCCCGTGGCGTTTCTGCTTCCCCTGTACTCTTCCATGACAGCTCCTCTCTCCTTCTCCAAGTCATCCTTCGACACACGAATCTACACAAACACAGAGCACAATCCAACAGCTATAATACCCTAGAGTGGTCCAAACAGAGCATAATAGAATTGCGCGGAGTTGAGACCTCTGAACTGAACTCGGCCAAAACCGAAATGGCCTGGGACAGGAGCTCTGGCTTGTCGACCGGAACCAAGAGCTCGTAAACGGTGTCGTCGGCGGAGGTGACGGCGTTCTGGCAAGCGCCGAATTCGGCTCCGATGCTCTCGAGGAACTTGATGATGTCGTGATTGGTGTATCTCCTGGTGGCACTGAAGGCAAGGTGCTCAACAATGTGAGCAACTCCGCGTTCGTCCTCTTCCTCGAGAACTGATCTGCCGAAGCGATTTGACAATCAGCGATTCAGCATTGATCGATAATTTAGGGAATATACATAAATGGAGAAATAGGTTAGGTTATTCGTTACCCAGCCTTGACGGCGAGAGCGAGAGCGGCTCGCATGCGAGGCTTGGAATTGCAGCGGACGTAGTAGCGGAGGCCATTGTGGAGTGTGCCGTAGTCGACGCCTATGGGTTGGTCCGAGAGGAGCTGGTCCATGTCGGCGTTCACGAGCTTCAGCGATCGGAAGCCTTGTTTCTTCTTCGAGATCGGAGGTGCAGTCGCCGGAAGTAATTCCATTCTTCTTGTTTCGGTTTCTCTCCCCCGATTCAAATTCAACCCTCGCACTGTCAGATATTCTGCGCCACTTGACAACCAGTGCCACTGACGTTACTACCACTCTGCGTGTCTTTCCTTCCTTCCTTTTCTTTTCAAAACCACCTCCAACTTCGTTAAAACAAATATATTAAATCATGTTAGACATTAATTCATTATTAATTTTTATTTTTAATTTACTTTTATTCATACTGTGAATTTGATAATTAAATCTCGAGAGCTTAAAGTAATTAAATGTTTGTTAAGTATTTACTCTAAGCCAGCTTTGATGAAAACAAAAATCTACTTTGGATTTAAAATGAAATTCAGGTCCTCAATGTAAACACCACTTCGCGTGCATGGTACATATATCATATGTGTGTGAGAATAGAGTTAGAACACCCAGAATTGACTTACCAAAATAGTAACGTGCTAGTTGGTAAATACTTTTTCTGAATTTAGCTGGTCAAAAATACTGTAGTTCATTTTGGCAACTCTAGGGGGAATCGCTGCTTTATATGTATGATACTCAAAGACTAGTGAATCAAATGAGCCATCCACTAAACTTGAAAGAGAATTTATGGATCGCAAACAAGTAGGCACCACAAATAAATTAAATCTCCACTCTTGGAATCTGGGCAACCTTGATCCATTTTGACGGAAAAAATTTATTTTAATTGAGTACATTTTAAGATACAGATTTTTCTCGGCTACGCTTTGGTATCCAATAATAATTTTAATAACTCAATAATTTAAATTATAACAATAATTATTTAATAAACTTAAAATTATACGGTTAAATAAAAAATATAATTTAATAAGTTTTTTTATATTGTTTTAAAAATATAACCATAGCTCTTTAAGGCTTTGTTTGGATTTGAGGATGGAAAAGGAGGAGTGGAAAAGGAGGAATTTGAAGGGAAAGTGAGTGGAAAGTGAGGTTGTTTAGATTAAGGAAAAATGAATGGAAAGTGTAGAGAAAGTTTGTGAAAGTTTGTGAGTGAATTGATTGAAGTGATAGATAAAAATAAATTTTTTAATTGATAATTTTATAAGATTACTATTTTGCCCTTAGGTTAAAAAAAGTTTATAATTATTATAATTAAAAGATAAATATAAAAAATTTAACTAAAAAAATAAATATAAAATCTTAATTTAAAAATAATTTAATTTAAATATTTGCTTTAAATTTAATGATAGATAAAAATTAAAAATTTAATAGATGAATACGTGATTTACACTTTTACCCTTAAATTAAAAATGAGTATAATATTATTTATTATAAATAATAATAATTACAATAAAATTATATTAATAGGTATAATTTATTAAAAAAATAATAAATAATGATAATAATAATAATAAATATTAGAAAAATAATAAGAATCATAATAAATAATAATGATACTAATTATAAAAAATAATAATAATATTAATAATAATGATAATAATAATAATATTTATAATAATAAATAATAATAACAAAATATATTATGATAATTATATTTTTAACATTATTTTATTAATATTTATGAAAGTGTTATTATTTCAATTTTATAAGCATACATTATTTTATTTTATTTTATTTTATTTTCACTTTTTGATGTCAATATTTAAATAATAGAATTTTCTTAATATAAAAAAATGTATAATAAATTTTTTGAAAGTTAATTAATAAATTAAAAATTTGATAAATTATTAACATAAATTAGAATGAAATGAAGATATATTTGTTAATTTTAGAAGTTAATTTTTACCAATTAAAAAATTAAGAAAATTTTAACATGTTGCATTTTTAAGAAAGTGGAACGGCTCGTTCTCAACTAGAGTTTTTAAGCTAATTTAATATTCTGGAACGGCACGTTCCGGTTTGGGAACGGCCCGTTCCAGTTTTGGAACGGCCCGTTCTGGGAAAGCCTGGAAGCGAAAAAAATGGCACATAATCGATTATGTATGACACATAATCGATTATGTGCCATGCATAATCGATTATGTTGGCACATAATCGATTATGTGCCTTGCATAATCGATTATGCGTGGCACATAATCGATTATGTGCCAACATAATCGATTATGCACGTAATTTTCAGAAGAGTTTTTACGTCTTTCAATCCTTGCCAACGTGGCTTTCTTCGCTTTTCTTCACGGTTTATCGAAGAAGCCTCCGTACGCCTCTCCCGTTTTTCTTCGCTTTTCTTTCTTCGTATTTCGCTGGAAACAAACACGTTTCATCCTCGCCTTTCCTTCATCATGTACAGTAAATCAGTGGAAGCAAACAGGGGCTAAAACTCTAATCCCGCCTTTTATAGGACAGGAATGAAAAAAGTAAAACCCACTTCCACCCACCTTTAACACCCCAGACAAGCAATAACTAGAAGTATTCTAGAATAAAGGATATATTTTTTTTTTAATCAAAAGACGTAACCACTTAGTTTTTTCATGGTAATCAATGGTCACTAATTGTAACGGAAACAATTATTTATTACCAATACCAAAGGATCGAGTCTCTTTGGATCTTATAAAAGCTTTTATACAAAAAACTATTTAAAGGATAATAAGAGCCAACAGAAAATGTCTAGAAAACTATTTACATTCTGGTTCTTCTTATTGTCCATACATATAGCAATAAGAGGAGTGATAATAATAAAATTTCTAACACATTTTATTATTAAGAGAATTATTGAATATAAAGGGGACCGCATAACAAAAAAATTATCATCTCCAATAAATTTCAACTGATAATTGAGAATGTGTTTAAAAGGGAATGTCAAAAAATGTGATCATTTCTCTTATATGATTAAGGGAAACAAGGCAGTTGGGATTCAGTAGCAAGTTCCCTAAAATTGTAGATAATGCAAACATGAAACAAGTTTATATCATTAAGGGAAAATATCCAAATCTGTAAGCAAGATGTATAGAACTATTGATTACATAGAGTGCAGCTAAATGACTTCCGAGCAAAAGGTTGGTATGACCGAAGACAGTGCTTTGTGCTTCAAGGGTTGGTATTGGTATCGCCCTTTGTCCATCCACCTATGAAAAAATTGGCTGAAACATTTTGTAATTTATAATTTCATTCTGTTCAACGAATGAGGCAATAATTATGTGATCGTGTTTTTTCCCAAAAAACCGTCTGCTTCATAAAATAAAGATTTACATTTTAACAGAACTCCAAATATACAAGTAATGAAACAACAAGGATGAATAATGCAAGATTATACATATGCTCAAAAGAAATGAGCAGGACAAAAATATATACAAAGAAATACAACAATCAACAAGCCTACAGATATATACAAAAAAAAAAAAAAACTACCCACAATATTGCTTCTTCCAGACATTCTATTATCATGATATTTTGTAATGCTGATCCACAGTTCATGCACATATCCACAATTGCATCCACTTAGCCAACGCAGTTTAAAAAAAAATTTCTTAATACCCATGCCTCATAGCCCATACTCCCCTTTCAGACCCTCATAGTTTCTTCCGACTTTCTATAGTTTGCCAATACATTTGGGAAGTATTTTTATCAATATTTTGTGCTGTATGCTTATACTTCTTGGAGTTGCATCAACAAAAACTATTTAAAATCTACCAATGTCCTAACACCAATAGTCTATTCGTAAACCTATGATACAATATATGAATAAACATAGACGAGAAACATATGAATCAACATATGACTCTCCCTTTCATAGACAAGAAAGCAGTCTCCAAACTAGATGCCATCAGAGACCCAAGTATCCTTTATTCCTTCTTTCCATATTCCCCATCTCCATCTAACTCTTGGAAATTTGCTTCTGCACGCAGAGATCAGGCTGCCAGCACCATATGAATCAACATCACGGTGGATGAGTAGTGAAACATCAGACAATTTGGTGCATTTATCCAAAACAGAGAAAATAAATTCAAGAGTAACCCCCATTTCATGGACCACCAGATGTGCAACAAGTTCTTTTATCATCTTCATCCCTATCCCATCTTCCAAACCTCCTCGGCTGAAAGAATTCTCCATCACATGCCAAGCTCCAGGACCTAAATTAAGATATGTTGTGTTCGGGAAACAATTCAACAGAGTATCAAGCCCAAACTCTGCCACATCAACATTTTCCATTCTTCCCACCAAATCCAAGGTAAGTCTCTTCACTGTATTGCAATGGCGAAACACATGACACAAAAAACCAAGAGATGGGCATTCTACACTAAGCTGAAGGCATTGTATGTTAGCACAATTTTTCAACCTGAGATCATCAGTGTTCTCAAGGGAGAGATTAAAATTGGACAAGGAAGGGGCTTCAAGGACAACCAGCCTAGGTTTAATGCATTTGAGATTAAAATCAACTAGGCAAGGAGCAGATATAATCAAAGAAAGTGGAGCATTTGAGACAGACCAATGACAAGTGGTGAGGTGCAAGAGATTAATCTTAGGCTCCTTAAGTCCACCAACCCCAATAAGATTGAGTTGTGTCAAATTAGGGAAACAAGCATTGATCCTGCTCAGATCCTCATCATCCAGTCTCACAAATTCAAGGGTCAAATATCTCAACGTTGGCATCAAACACAAACCATCCACGGATAACCAAGCGTTCCTCACAACCAATTTCACAAGATTATGACCTGCAGAAGTAAAAGACATACACACATTTCCATATGGCATGTTTAGAAGGAAGAAGAGAAAATATACAGGAACACAATGCATATTTTTTTGCTTGATTGAAGAGAAAGTAATAAGAAAAAGGAGAACAATATTGACTTCTAAAAAAAAAAAAATCTTTCCTCTTTCCCTC